ATGGATAGATGGATAGATGGATGGATGGATGGATGGATGGATGGATGGATGGATGGATGGATGATGGATGGATGGATGGATGAATGGATGGATGGATGGATGGATGGATGGATGGATGGATGGATGGATGGATGGATGAAGGTAACTGTCACGTTGTTTGAAGTTCCTGGCTTGCTGCGTCTCTTCCCTGTGCAGGCTGTAACTCCATCTTGTAACCACCTGCCTGAGGCTTAAAGTGAACTTCTAACCTTTTTTTCATAACAAGAGACGATGAACAATACACACAAACCCGTAAAGTTCTAACTTCTCAACAATAACTAAATAAACATCTCACTGATTGAATTAGCTTATATTGATCGTATCTGCTGCTGACGTTAATCTATGCATTTGTTCTCACTGCAGTCGTAAGATAATTCAAAGAAATGTGCAGTTTAGAGGGAACAAAACACAGTTAATTCAGTCAAGTCAAATTCAACTCTTGAGTTAGAGATGTACTAAAATACTGGGGGTTTATTTGACCTCTCCAAGTAATTGTTAAGATTTTCGGCAGCATGACTAATTAATATAATTATGATTGACTTTTCAAAAGAAAAAACAGGATAATTAAAGAAAAATATTAAAAATAACTGCGTAACACAGGGAAGTTCACTGCTGTGTGAATCTAATACTCCTACAATAAATAAAAATATGAATAAAAGCCTAAACAGTGCTCATTGTTCAGGATTCAGTTTGAAAACAGATGCCATTTTATATTTTAATATTACTTTAATACTAATAATTTTACTTTTTGAATGAAGAGACAAACATATTTCATTGTTTTGTGTGAATGGTAAATAACAACAATTATTTGTTATATATCATTGCAAACTTAAATTGCTTTTATAAACATTACTTGACATTTTTCAGATGTCCGAAATATTTGGATTGTTGCATGAAAAATGTCAAAAAGAAATAGGCACAGTATACTTTAAAATCTGATTAAATTTGTGAAATGTTTAGATCAAATTTGAGTCGTTTCATAGATGACATACTTTCGTGATTAACATATTTTTTTAATTGCTGCAGGCTAGTCAAAATGCAAAGCAGATTAAAGCTAATTATTGCAAATTATGGACTCAAACATAAGAAAGTTGATCCTGAATTATATGAAAAGTTCAGTTTGAAAGAGTTTACTCCAGTCGTTTTCCAGAAATGTTAGTATGTAATTCTAAAATGCAGGTATGCACTCAATGTAAACAAAACACTTTATCTGCATACTTTACGTAACAAATATGAGTGTAAATACAAACTAACACACACAATTTCTAGGGTTATTTGAGCCCAAACAGCTCATCCAACGTCGCTATTGTTCTGTTTTCATCACCTCAGCTGCTTCAGCAGGTAAACAAACAACGTGGTAGTCACAAATTTTGCTTCAAAGTTTTTAATTTAAGGACACGTTAAGCACTGACACGAGAAACAATTCTTCTGGTTTTGTTACTTACGTTGTAGAACTTGATTTCTCTTAATGACATTGCAAAGACCTTTGTTAACTTTTAGCTTTGGTATGTGAATGTTTCTGTGTCTGAGCGCTGACGAGACATTTCATTGCCCCTAACGTCCATTTCTCTTTCGTCTCTTCTCGTTTTGTCTTGAAACGAGCTGCTTTTCCCTCTCAGAGCACTGATGAAAGTGCTGCGGTCGGTTTTTGGGAACTGAACTTTCTATCACAGAACTTCTGGGTGAAGTCAGAGAGGGCAAACAGTGGGAAGGAGGCCAGAGTAGTTGGAACCGCTGACCTGTCCTTGATTGATAACAAAGTGTAATAACAGCTAATTAGGTGTAATAATTTAAGCCAATAAAGATGGGTGGCAGATTGAAGATGATGTGCGTCGCCTCAGAGGACCTTACTCCGAGGACGAGCGGAGACAATACACTCGGACACGAGGACAGGGCCATTTTGACCCTGGATCAGTGAATCACTGCGTAATTATTTAGGAGAATGGTGGGAGTGGTACTAAATTAGAAAGAACTGCATGGAGGAAGGAAACTGGAAACTTTTATAGAGGTGATAGAGGTTGAAACATAACAGAGACATGAGTCCAGTCAGTAAAAAAAACTCTGTGGTTCTTTGTGTCTCCTGGCCTGGAGCCAGAATCCTAATTTCCCTGAGATTATTTTTTTATCAGCCGATGCTGACTCCTTGTGGCACGAGGCAGATCGAGTCAAAACATCCCGCTAATAAAGAACACGACCCACATATGCTGCCCACCTGTTTTCAGTTATCTGTAATACATCGACTTCAGGAAAGGAACATATTGAAGGTAGTAATATGTAAAAAGTATGACTGTCAATCAAACAAAATGAGGAAAACGAGTCCCTTTGCATTATTCTACAAACAAAACACCGAGCTTGAAACAAAAACTTTTTTTATATATATGAATCTCTGCATGAAATGCAAAATATCTACCCAATATGAAGTTTACTTAACCATTTCTTTGTTGTGAGTTAAAAAGAAACTTTACAATTGTTGGAGGAGCAGCATTAATGCAAACACTTGGTCATATTTGTCCATTTCTAAGGCGTTTTATCTTAAGAAACAAAATTATTTGTCAGACGCAAAAGTGTATTTACTAAGAATCATTTCTCACCGTGCACGTGATACATGCGTTCTCTTAGTGTTTCTTCAACGTAAATACATCAGTAATGTACTATTTTAGTAAATTTTATTGATAAATTGTGTTTTGACGTATGCACTCTGACTATTTTTTTAAAAGACAAATAGAATAAGTGTTCATTTTAAATCACGGCTGTATTTTGTAAGAGAACAGTTTTCTCCAAAATGTGAGTTGTTTGGTTTAGTTTAAAAAGCTTTGACCTCAGGCAGACGGTACAGGAGCCTCCTGTACATTGCACTAAGCCACATCTGACAAATAATATGTTTATTGCTGCTGCACTATGTGGTTGTATCATGTATGTCACTACCTTGCCACCGTAATTCAATTAATCTCAGTATTACTCACCTGTGTAATAACCTGTCACACAACCTAGTATATGTTATGTGTAATATATATCATGTGCATTTAAGCTAATATTACCACCTGTGAAATACTTATTTATACTAATTCATCACTTGCACCATTATGTTCCACCATGTTGTTTACTATATTTATTATGTACTTTATAAATATCATATTTCTTTTTCCCTTTTTGGTACTTTATTTTGTACTTTTATTGAATGCTTTAGTATTTCTTGTATTTTTAGAGAGTACAATCAGTTCTTCTCATCCTGAACATTTTATTGCATTGACTTTGTGCTAACCTGCATATGACGAATAAACAAACACTAAAATTATAGTTTGTATTCTATCTGTTGTTTCTTGAAATGGTGTTGGGATTACAGTTTTATTTATGTGCTCATGAAGGCAGGAGATGTTTATATACAAAAAGATTAATAAAGTCTACTCATTAAAAGTTTTTGAACCGTCTCGACAATGTTTTAGGATTTTTGTTTGTTTGGATGCTTTCAGCTGGCTTTAAATTGAGGTCAGAGGTCATCACACATCAAATTATTATTTCTTTATTCCTCCCTCTTTGATAAAGGGAGCAGGCTGGGGAAACGTTCTTCTTGAGGTTTTTCTCTGCTCTCACTCTTTTCAAACTCTGCAAATTGCAAAACATATACATTTTTGTGTCCATGTATTATTTTTTTTTGTTTGTTTGTTTCTTTTTATTTACTTATTTTGCCCTGTAATAAAACAGTTTAAGTTAATAATATGGTTTTATGGCTGGTATTTGTGAGGAGCAGGACAGTGAATCTTTGTCTGACAGCGATCTGTTATAAGAAATTATTTTTTGTGTGTGTGACGTTCCAAATATATTCAATAAAATTCAGTCTGGAACAAAAAAAATTATATTTAAGATGTGTGTGTGTGTGTGTGTGAATTAAGCTGCTCATCATGATGATCAGCTCTTGCTGATCATTAAGAAAAGCGCATGTAGAATTTGCCCCCCCTGGCCTCTGAGAAGGGGTGGCTAATTACCTCTAATGTGACATCATCTATGCATGAGAGTAACGTTACGTTTCAGAGGGCGGACGGTGAAACACCTCTGACATAAATGTTTAATTCATTCACAATCCCCCTTTGATTCATCTAAAACCCTGATTTTACATGATAAACTCTTTTTCTCTGAAATGTATTCACATTAAATTTCAAGAACATTATTATTAGTGGAAAAAAGTGCTGTCTTGATGGTTTTATATAAATATATATTTTGCACGAAAAATTACCTACAGCCTTTTCACAGCCCATGACCCAAAGTTAAAAGGAAGTCAACTTCTGCACAAAGACTTTATGTTTAAACTGAAGTCTTTCTAAAGTTTTACACTTGTTCCTTCAAAGTGTTTTGCAGAAAGCAGCAGCTGAATCCATGAATGTTGTTGCTTTATAAACACAGATGATTTAATTGGTATGGAGTGCCCAGAAAGTTAGCTTTTTAAATATAGTCTTAGAGATTTAAAATCCACCAAGAACTAAAGCACTGCAGCTCTCATTATGTTTCTATGACAAAGAAAAGCAGCTTATTTGTGACTAAATGCCCAATAAGATGCAAATTTTGAGATTAATGTATCTGATACACCTCTAGATTCGAAAACAGGACAATAAAAATAAAAATTCCCACTCTAAAAGAATCAGAATAGTAAACGGTACACAGCTCCTGCACATGAAGGACATCTCGTGTGATGTTATGATTCCAGAGGCATCTGACTCTGGAGCTGTGACGACCGAGGATCATGGAGGGTAGTAATGGCTGCATTATTACGCCACTTATTGTGTCTTAATTAGTGGCATTTAATTATGCACTAATGCAGTGAGGGCTATTAAAGACACTGGGACCTGCTGATCAGGGAATTAGAGAACCTCTCACACACACAAACACACACACACACATCTGCAGACACACACTCCCCATATTCTGAAATCTCACTGCCCTTTAACTAGGAATTAAACACACCCTACAGAGAAAGTGTGTGTTTATAAAGTGAACTAAAACTAAAGAGAATCTAAAAAAGTCAGCAAAGGATTAGGAGTAAATACTTAGGGAAAAATAAGGAAAAGACGATGTAAACACTTTGTGTTTTCCTGAGTAAATGACACCCAAATAATTTTTCACTCCCATGCTTCTCCTCCACTGGTGCATCTCAATTATTTGTTCAGAGGCTGGTTGTGACAATAGTGTCGGCTGTGGGTGCCTTTGGGATGCAAAACGGGGGAGACAGGAGGTTAAATAGTCACTTTCACCTGAGGCTTTGTGAGGAGAGGAGAAGCTTCAAAGGTTCATTTAAACAGAGAAAACAAAAGCAGCAAACTTGATCCTGGTCGCCCTGTTTGCTGTTGAAGGTGGCTGAGCACTGATGGCTCCTCAAATCAGTCCCCCCCCCCCCCCCCCCCCCCCCCCCCCCCCCCCCCCCCCACCTGCTCTCACCCGCATGGTCTCATTTCAATCTCAAAGTTGGTTCATGGCCTCTCATTACATTTATGGGCTAAAAACCAAAAATACAACATTTAGGCTGTTTATGTCCAAAATATATTCTATCAAAAGTAAGGCGTTCAGAGGGATTAAAATATTTACAGTGATTATTTTTCTCTTTCTTCAATGTGCTATTTAGTTTTTTTTTTTTAAGTATGCTTTTTCTTTGTTTAATATTCATCATATGTACAGTTAAAAATATTTAAAATAAAAATGATTTATTCAAACCATTTATTTGCTTTATACTATAATTTTAAAGGAAAAAAATGCATTCCTAAATTATCCTGGAGAGAGTAACTCTTATTAACTTGTGTTTTTTATTATTATTATATTGTATTTCAAAGCTGGAAGTAGAAGTTTTTGTTTTTTTGTTTGTCTTTTTAATGATTAAGTTAGAACGACTGAACCACATTAAGTCACTCCATGCCTCAGTTATTTGCGCACAAAAATAAATAAATACATAAAATAAAAATAATAAATAGAATCAGAATTTCCAATATGACTTTCCAAGTGTGGGGATTAAGACTGGAAAAACGAGACTTTAAATAAATACCACACCAAAAGATTCTGTTTCAAATTCTTTATAAATATCTTCAGATAAATAGCGTTATGATACAACCAATGCACAGCTGAATAACACAGAGAAAAGTGCAACAGGCCTAATTTATTATTATTATTATTTAATCACAAAGGCCTACGTGTCTTAATCAAACTTGCTATAAATTACAGAAGAAAAAAAACAGCAACATAGCTAAACATGAGTTTGAATTTGGGCAGAACATCATGGTTGTCTCATGACAGCTCTCTTTGGCTTCAGCGCGTCTTCTATGATTTGATTGAATATGGAGCCACATTACAGCGCGTGGGAAATGCCCTCACAAAATGTGCAAAAAATACTTACTCAGTCAACAAAAGACAATAATAAAATATTTTTTTACAAACCCTCTCGCTGCGGCACCAAACTCATGAAGCTTCTGTCAGACTTTTTAATTTAAATTCATCTCAATCTTCTTTATTTTCATCAACTAACCCGCAGTTTACCCGGTTAGGACAGCAGCAGAGCCGGGTGGAGAGGGTTCCCTTTCCCCTCCAGCAGATCTCTCTTCTCCATCACTGATGCTGGGGAGCAGAGTTGGGCCGGACCGGTCTGCAGCCCAGCCAAACCAGGAACTGGACCCAAGGATGGGGTGGGTTTTATGGGCACTGGAACGGCAGGCAGGGTCTGCCCGTTGGCGTTGTGGTAAAGGCCCTTGGACACGCTGAAGGGCGCGTACTCTGAGGAGGCTGCGGGCACGGGCACGCCACTCATGGACTCTGACAACATCCCCACGTGCGGCCACATCGAGTTAACCACGCTGCTGAGCTGATGGGGCACTGGGTAACCCAGGTGGTGCATGACAGAGGTGAGGGGAAGCCCGCTGGCCACCACACCCTTGTAGTCTCTTCCTATGATGTTCTCGATGGCGAACGGGTGTTTGAACGCGCCGGGCTGCGCGCACGCGATGCCGCCGTAACCCTGAAAGTGAGGGAGGCGACTCATGCCCGCCGGCGCGGCCGAGTGCTCGTGGTGGCCGGAGTTGGCAGCCAGCTTGCTGGCCGGGTGGTGATGGTGGTGGTGGAAGTAGTGCATCATGGGGGAACTCTTGCAGGTCATGTGCTCAGCGCGCAGCACCTTGAAGCGCTTCCGTCTTCTGAGGAAGCTGCCGTTTTCAAACATGTCCCCGCAGTCCGGGTGCAGAGCCCAGAAGCTGCCTTTCCCGGGCTGATCGGGCCGCCGCGGGATCTTAATGAAGCAGTCGTTGAAGGAGAGGTTGTGTCGCAGAGAGTTCTGCCACCTCTGGGTGTTTTCTCGATAATACGGGAACCGGTCCATGATGAACTTGTAGATGTCACTCAGAGGCAGCATCTTCTCGGATGAGTTTTGGATGGCCATGGCGGTCAGTGAGATGTAGGAGTACGGAGGCTTCTGGTCGCTGTAAGAGTTTTTCCCAGGACGGGGCATAACTGGGACGGGTTTCTCAAAGTTTCTACAGATAAATAAAGACGCCTTTACTCGGAGTTTGAGCGGTTCTGTCACGGCGCCAACTGAAGATTCTTCCCATCAGTCTCCATCCGACTGATCCATGCCAAACTTCTGAAGCATCAAATTATTTTTTCTGCGCTTGTATCGATTTATAAAATGCAACCCAGAGGCCCACACGGACAGGTCAGATCCCGGAGGAGGACTTAAATGAAGTTTCTTTAACTGTCTCTTTCAGAGTGATGCTCTTCAAAGCCGTGCGTAAAACTCAGTGTCCGTGCGTAAAAACCTGAGGTCCCTTTAGTTCCTCCGCGCTTAAAGGATGAGTTTGGATTGTTTGCTTTCTGTCTGCGTGTGATGCAGCTCCTCTCTTCCTGTGTGGTGCTCCCAGTCGCCCGCGCGCTGTTTTTGTGAGACCCCCGCAGGTCGTCCGCTCTGTTATCTATTATCCAGACACTTGGGGGGCACGTCAGGAGAGAGCAGAGGGCTGTGCGTGTGTGGTTTCTGGTTTGCGTGTGTGTGCTAGTGGGGGGTACAGTAGGGGGAAGAGATGGGGTAAAGGAAATGAAAGGAGGGGCGCTTCATGCACGCGTTTGTCTCTAATGTGCTGTCTGCCAATCACAAAGTCCCGCGTAAAAGCGCACATATGTGTGGAGACAGATGTAAACTGTGCGTCAACTGTCGACACTCAGATGTCTCTGATCAAGTTCTTGAACACGAAGGAGCTAAATATGTTTTTTGTTATTTATGACCTTTGACCTCTCTTGCCTTAAAATAAGTTTAAACTCTGACAGTTTGCTGTCATTTTGTGAAACAGCGCATAAATAAACATCAGTGAACGAGTCTTCCTCATTTCACTTGAACAAGTAAATAAAAAAGAAAATGCAAAACATAAACACAGCCTCTTTGGTAAATCTGCTCGATTGCACTTTCAGACTTTTCCAGCCATAAATCATGTCTGTCTTTTGCGCACGCGAGCCAGCGCGCCTCTCCCTCCGCTCTCATTCACAGGAGCGCGCGTCGGCGCAAGGAGCGCACGACACGGGAGCGGGAGCCGCGCGGTTGTTGATTAATTGCTAAGAGGGGAGTCCGGCGGCTGTCTGTCTGTTCAAACACTCTCTGGTGAATCCTACAAGGATGTAAACAAACTTCATCCCCTGCTCCGAGTTCTGCTCAGCGGAGAACAACAGAAGCTGCTGCTTTTATTCATTTATTTTTCATTCTGTTCTTTTTTCTTCTTCTTCTTTTTTCCTCTCTGGCCAGGTGTCAGGGTCCTTGACGGCTCCTGTCTTCCTCCGTGCCCCCGGTGGGCTTCCGCATACATTACAATAATTAAGTCTTCCGTGATTTAGCCTCCTTGGAGAGAAGTCCAACAATGTAATTAAAGGCGAGCTCGCTGGATTAGGTATGAATATTCAAAACTGTGTCAATTAATTAGTCGCTGCGTCTCTCCTGTAATGTGCGGGCCCTTAAAGCGCACTCAAAAGGTCAGCGGTGTCAACCGACAGCATATTTTAAAGGCATCATTTCACTGCGACAAAAATTACCTTTTTTTTTGTGTGTGTGCACCCTCACGAAGAGTGAGCATTTAAATAAAAACACGCGTTCGTTTTTCTGGCGTTTTTATTTATTTATTTATTCGAGACCCCTCAGAGGCCAACGCGGGTAAAAGCATCCCCTTAAAACGCTCGGGAAAGATCAATATTAAATCTGTTTTCACAAAGGGGTCCGTTAAGTAGACTGATCTGCATAACAAAATTAATTAGGTAGTCCACAGCTTCCTTTTGCGCAGCACCAAACTCCTGGACAAATAACTAGTTGTAAAGCGCACCTTCTGGGCATACGGAACATATGTTGGAATTATCCTTAATTGACTAATTACATAAATTACTCATTAAGTTTACACCACATCAATTATAAAAGATGTATCAATTAATTTTGCATAAATTACCAGTACTGCTGCTGCACGAAGAGGGCGATGGAGGGAATGAGGATCGCCAGGAGGGGGTCTCACCCAAGGTGTGTGTGTGTTCGTGTGCGCGCGCGTGAGTGACGGTCGTCTGTTTGTTTCCAGTCTCTAATAATTATTTGCTCAGCTTAAGGGCAAAGATATTCTTCCTCTGTCTCGCAAAGGGAAAGTGTGGGGGTAATGGCAATTATACTAATAATAATAATCTTAAAGACCTCTCTCCAACTCATGAGGGGCGCATCGAGGGCCATTAAAATCAATTAGCAGGGCCCATTGTTTTCCATGGGAAATGGAGCTGCTTGAGGAGATGCAGTGCTGGAAAGCTTATTTGTATGAATTATTTGGAAGCAAAGATTTTATTTTAAGTTATTTTTCCCCCTAAAAGGCGAGCAGCGTTAACAAATCTGTTGCCTAAAGAATGACTCCTCATCAACTCAGGTAAAGATATCTTTGACATTTACTTTCAAACTTGAAAAAATCCTAATTTATTTTATTGGGTTTCATGCTTTTCAAATTCAACAATAATTTTGAAGTGTTTTTTTTTATAATATAGTTGACTTTATTGTGCTGATGCTCCTCTTAAACTGATTTGACTTTTTATAATGTAGAGCAAGAGTCACAAATGGGCTTTAACTTTATAAATTTGGCAAAACAAAAAAAAAGCAACATGTATTCCTTCCTTGGTTGTGATACTAAGCCAATTTTTTTTTTTAAACTATTGATTACACTTCATTTTGTTAAGTATTTAAGTCCTTGTCTCATTCTTGACAACGCTGTTGAATTAAATATATTTGTGAGCGTTTGTGCTGAGTGACACCTCTGTCCACAATTCTTCTGGTCAACCTCCACAACGCATGCAGAGCTTAGCCCCCAACTCCCAAAGATTCTGCCATACAATGCAACAAGCAGCAGGGAGCAGCAAAAATATATATTTCCACCACCAGATGAAAAATTCTGTCAAATGTATTTACAATACACAATCACTTAAAAATAAGGCGCACATATCATTTGTTTGCAGATTGCTGTGTGAATTAAAGGCATTTCAGTTCCCACAACTCGTAATCGTCTTTATGAATGACAAATTTAAAGAATTTGCAACAAATTATATAAAACATTTATAGAGACTGAGGGTTTTTGTTTTCTTACAGAAAATGTTTTCAATTTGCTTAATGTTTTCCCCGATTGTTAGGATGGGCCCAGCCTCGGAGAGCAGAGGTGCATGGTCCAGGCTTCCTATACAATGTCTTCAGAAGGTGGATTTGTTTGTTTGTTTGTTTTGTTTTGTTTTCCAGAGGGCAGTCCCCAGAGAGACCCTGTGACAAACTCAAAACATTCTGAAGATATTAAATAGAAATGAGTTTTTTAAAAAACATCCTCTTCTACAACTGACCAAACTACTTCAAAAACTGTCACTTAGCTCTGAATGATTGCTGCCACAGCGATGTTACGGTATTTTCAAGGTATGTTAAATGGTAAATGGACTGTACTTTTATAGCGCTTTTCTCTCTTATTTCAAGATACTCAAAGCACTTTACACTACAATCTGTGTCCTCATTTACCCATTCATACAGCTCTATACTAGATCTATACAAAGCTAATTGAACAAATCTTTCTAAAGAGACTAATCAGCTTTATCACATTCATACACCAATGGAACACACATCAGAGGCTATGAGGGGTTCAGTGTCTTGCCCAGGGACACTTCGACATTTGACTGCTGATGGATTTGAACCCCCAACTCTCGCATTGGAAGACGACTGCTCTAACCACTCAGCCACAGCCGCCCCCATCTTACCATCTTAAAAACTTTTTAGAAGTTTTTGAAACAAAAACATTAAACAAGATTGTTTCATAGCTTTGGTAGATGTTCATCCTCTCAGCAGGGGCGATTCTAGAATTTGATCTTCAGGGGTGCTTAGCCCCCAGTGCTGTCGTTGGCTCTTGGCTTGAACAACGTGGTGACCATTTGTGTCAGAAGCATTCATAATGTGTATGTCTGTGGGGGGTGGGCACTGGTAGAGGGGTCTGGAGGTCCTTCCCCATAAAATTTTGAATAAAGTAGATGCCATTTCCTGCATTCTAGTGTATTTTTAATGGGTTGTTAAACATCCATGTTTAGTAAACACTTGATTCAATATCTATTTTAGAGAGCACGGCACAACACGAAGTAGTGCTTAGCTAGCGGCGTGCAATACAGACACGGTAGCTAAGATGCTACAGATTTAGTGTTCTGCTTTACATAACACAATCTATTAAACACTTTGTACTAAAGCAGTGTAGTGTTAACTGATCATAACAAAGACTAAACTCATGCAACCAGAAATTGCAACATATATCTACATACAAAACACACAAAAATAAAGAACAACTATCTTTATGTATTAATTTTTAATTTAACCATCAATGTAATTATGACAGAAAATGTCAGTTACCTTCATACAGATGTGCATGTGTTTTTTCCTGTTTATCACTGTTGTATTCAGCTGCTCATGAGGTCGGCCACATGGATTTATCATCTATTACGTTTTTCCAGACTCAGTTTAGGTTTTGGAAATGGAATAAACTGTATTCCCCCCCTCTAAAGTAGAGCTATTCAACTAAACTGCTCAGGGGGGCACACTAACTGAAAGCAAGCAGCTCAGGGGCCGGACATCCAGCAATTAAAGTCATTATGTAAATAAACCAAATATTACAATGATCAGTTACCTTTTAAATTAGTTTATTTTGTTGCATTGATTCATAAATGCAATTAACAGAACCCAAAACCCAAACCCAGAACCGCCCCCTCAAAATTTTTTTTTTAAATAAAACAA